TAGTTATAATGCCTGTACCTCAACTAGGTATATAATAATATATTTATAGTGGCATATATACATAGACGAATCGTGTTTACAATACTACAATCCACAGATTTATACAATATTAAATATAGAAATAAATATTGTATATATTACCTATGGTACAATTTGCAACTTTATTAAAAAAATCTATTCTAGAATTATCATTATTGATATTGAATTATCAGAACAATTAAAAATGAATAGAGTTTAAGAAACCTCAAAGAACAAAAACAATTTTTACCTATAAAACCATATGAGTATAATACGTAGGTAGGAAATCGAAATTACAAAACTCTAGATTCTAGAATTATTTTCAGAAATTTTTTCAGATAAAAAATTTTAAAAACAAAATTAGGAATACATAATTATTGTACATCAGTAGCAAATTAATTATTTTAATATTCGAATAAATACTAAGTGTACCTAAATAAATAATAAAAAATAAATATGCGTAATGGCCTGGATCAGATGCCGGATTATACACAGATGTTAATTTACATAGAAATGGCGTTTAAACATCGATTACGACAAGCTGTCCGGTCAACCTTAAATGAGTTGCAAGTATATATGAGAAAAAAACCCTACCCTTTTTGGAATATTCATTGTAGTTAACATTCATCATGTGATCTAACTAATTACTCACGTACATCGTAYAGTAATCAAACAGTTGATAACATTCTATAAATTGATAAATATTATTATGATAAATATACATTTTTGACTTATTATGCATTTGTTTTTCACCAAATTTATGTAATTACATGAAAATCGAACGTAAAAATATAATATATTRTTAAGTCATAAAATACGAGTGAATTATTTATAAATTTGTGAAGGACAAATAAAAAATTTGAAGTTGTTTGTGTAGGTACGTAATGTTACATTTTTCTCAAGTTACCTATTTCAAAAATATAGTTTTTTATTTGAATATTTTTGTTTTGTTTTTAAAGATACTCAAAACAAAAACACCGTGATTAGTAGTGATTCGTATTTCTTAAAAACATATAGGTACCTATGCTTTAAAAATATTTTTTACGAAAACATTTATATTTTACTTAACTTGAGTAGGTATATAAATATCAAGGAAGTTTACTTTATGACACGTTTAAAATAAATTCTTGAATTTCGTCCAAATTTATGCATAAAAACTTATTAAAATGATTCAAAAACAAAATTTCAAATTAATTAWATAAGGGGGGACAACTACTATAAATGTAACTGGATTTATATAGTTTTAGAAATATACTTCTAGAAATACTGGCATACTATCAAAGACCAAAGTATCAACACGTACTAACTAAAATGAAAACGTCATGAGTTATAAACGGAATTCGTCATCTTTTTAATTTTAACAAAGTTGAATCATAGTTCTTGAAATTAATCTTGAATTGATCTGAGAATTGTGAATTTCGATCATGAAGAATAATCAATGTTTTAATGTTAAAAATTAAAATAAATATTAATGATGACGTTAGTCTAAGTAATTATATTATACCTACTTAATACATGCTATATTTAAACTATCTGCAATCTTACAAATCTTATAAATTACTGAATTATGCTAGTAAACTATTAACATAAACATATCAAAGGACAAATTAATTCTTTCCCAATGCTTTAACATTTCTAATACGTAAACATAATTAATTTTAGCTTTATATGATATTATTCAACTCGCAACTTATTTGTTAACTTAGGTTGTAATTTTTCAAATACTTACTTAATTAATCTTATAAATTTAAATAAGCTTTTTTAGACTTTTAGATCATTTTTATAACAAATAGATAATTTTGAAAAAATTATAAAACCATATTTTATTGTTACWAAAAAAATAATTGTTCATAATAAAATGTATTTTATTCTATGTACACTTTATAAATACAACAAAAGAAGTACAGATGTTAAGCTTTTATTTTTATTTTTTTCTAATAAATACATTAATTACAAAATTTAAAATTAATTACTATTAAAAAAATGTACCTTATAACATGATCAACATAATAAACTTGTAAATTAGTCATTATTTGGCTTAAGGACTTTTAGAATTATTATGTTTCTCCTTAGATAGTTAAATAAAGACTACCTAATTATAGTTTATACAGAGCTGTACCCATGACATTTTTTGAGAATAAACAAAATTACTAAGATGTCAATAAGTAGGTACCAAAATACTTCCATATAGTACCATATTATATTAAAATGTATACCCATAATTTAGTAAAAATTTCTTGAGAGAATACAGTGTTAAAGATGAAGAATTTACATAAAAAAATATTAGTAAAACCAGTAAACCAGAATTTAAGGTTAACTAATAAAATATATTTGAGCCATATTTTTTATTAATAAATAATGGACCTATTGCTTAGCATCAGTATATATTATGAATATAATAATGTAATAATAATTACAATTAAATTATCAAAATTAACACACCATTTCTTTATTTTTATATGTTCAAAAGTCAAAATATTATTGTATTGATTTTTAGTATCACCTGACAAAAAATTATATCTCTTTTTTTAATTCAGGATAGGTGATTATGATTGCATTTGATTAGAGGGCCCACACAACATTTTTAAGAAAAAATTTACTGGTAAGAAAAATTGGTTAATGTTATGGTAAATTTACAACATTCACGACTTTAATGGTATATATATATATAGTATACAGTATGGAAATACCCCTGCTTAAATAAATTAATAGATATAAGAAATCAAAAAAAGAATTCAAAATTTTATTTAACATATTTTTAAATAATTTAAGGCTTTTTGATTATTAAAGCACTTTTTCACATTATTTAGCTTTAAAGTTCTTATTTTTAACTATTCTGTGAATAAAAAAAATAAATTTAAATGAAATATAAGAATTTAAACTATAATACAACATTGTGTAACTATTAAATTCTTTTTGGCTTATTCATACAAAAMGATTTATCCTCAAACTTTGATAAAGAAGCAATATAACTATGCAAAATAGAAAAAAAAAAAATACTATACAGAGAAAAATTTAAATAAAAATTTGATACATACTATTTCAGTATTTTTTACTCATATTAACGTCCAAGTATAAAAGTAAGTACATTTCATTAGAAAATCGCATAACTAATATGTTGAACGTTTGATTTTGATCTGATACATATCAATTAGCTTAATTTTTTCCTTCAGTATCTTGTAGTATTTGAAAAAATTATTAATTAAAATAAATAATTATCATAGGTATAATAATATTATTGATATTATCCATTGGTTTTAACTATTAGATTTAAATTCAAAATATAACAATATTTTTATTATGAAACAAGGAATGTTTAAATCCAACAGCATCTCAAACTATATTATAGTTCTAGAAGGGTCAGCACTCGGTCAATATGACTTCTAAATTATTTACATAATTTAAGAGGACGCCACACCYGCATGTGTTGTCTTCGTCWTTCAAKTGCGTRACATGGCAAATTTTATGCTCAGCAGTTCCAATTTAGCTCCATTAGTTTACAACTTGAAGTAAATTGACCTCTTATAAGAATTAAAGGTAACATTATTATCTAGGTTTTCACAGATGCTTTTTTATTATATTTCAATTTTGAAGCGAGTTATGAGTATTTTTAAAACTGTGAATTGCTTGTATATCTTAAAATACTCATAACTCGCTTCAAAATTGTAATATAATAAAAAAGCCTCTGTGAAAACCTAGATAATAATGTTACCTTTAATTCTTATAAGAGGTCAATTTACTCCAAGTTTTGAACTAACGGAGCTAAATTGGAACTGCTGAGCATAAAATTTGCCATGTTACGAACTTGAAAGACGAAGACAGCACATGCGGGTGTGGCGTCCTCTTAAGTAATAGAACTAGATTGGAAGAAGTAAACAAATAACCAATATAATTAAATTTAGAAGAAAAAAAATGTTATACATTATGTATGTAAGCTTTCATTGTTAATAACTGACAACTGTTTACAAATAGCCAACGATAGCTAGATCCCAATGTATTTCTTGATTCATAATTAAATATAAAATAAATAATTGTGACCTGTACCTATATTATAACATTACATGTTATCTGTCAACTGACATAGTAACATCTAATCAGATAATTTAAAACAAACTTATTACTAATTATTAGTTTCCAACTAACTATAGTAATGATTTCTAAGTGGATATAGTGATTAAAAATAGTAAAATTCAAATAAAATTAAATAAAGATGTTCCATTAATTAATTTAACCTACCTATATGATATAATTATTTCTAATATTTGTCTGTATACTTCAAAAATGTATCAAATAAAATAAATACCTTAATGTTTACTAAAAATGTTTAAAACAATATAATAAGTTATTATTATTAGTAACCAATCAAAATATCTATAGTAATAGTAATAGTATCATTAACATTTTAAATTATACAATAAAACATTATAACATTGACTTTATAGGTATTATATGTGAATATGTTATTCTACATTTGACAAACATATCAATTATCATTTCTTTATCAATAATAATTTTACTTGTTTCAATGTTTCCACCTACTAAAAAATGACCAAAAGATTCAATTACTTTTAATATTTCTTTATCAATAATAATTATAATCTTGTAGCAAGTCTTTAGAAGTATATTAACTAGGTAATAACGATCATTAAATTTAAGTTTATCAATAAATAATTACTTACCAATAAAGTCATAAGTATCTATCAAATAATAATTAATAATAACGCATAGGTAGTTTTATGTTGTTGTGTCTTATATTTATTATACTATTTCATAGTATAATATTATAAAATACAATAGTATTAAACTACAGAAAATGTATCATTATTATACAGTTTTCAAATGTTTATATTATTAATGTGTAAAACAGACTAATATAAATCACCTTAATCAAATACATAACAAGTAATAAAACTACAACACATATTATCTAATACCTAGTTGATTTCTCTGTTTAAATCATGAAAATAGTTGCAAGTACTCACCAGCATATAAGAGGAACCGGCAGCGGCAACCGGTCTCTGTTCTTCGTTATCCGCACAGTCATCAGCCATATTCTCGTCGGCGAGCTAAATACCAAAGAAACTATCAATATAAGTACTATACCATTATGATAAATGACAATAATAGGATGCACGTTTGTAAAAGCACAATGTTTCAACTGAATCATAAGAAAAATATGCACTTACCATACTTTGACAATAGAGTTTACATGAGTACTTCTATGGATGTATAGCCGACGTGAAAACACGTCACAGTCGTATTTTAATCTTGCTGGTGAACGCTTTGAACGGGACAGACCGCAAATAATATAGCGAAGTGAGATTTTTAGACCRAAAAAATTATGTTTACCTACCTACGATTTATTTTTTTTTCGTTTTTAAATATAACCGACAACCGCCGGAATTCGTATTCGAGACGGTCGCCGACAATAACATTACAATTTACAATTGCAATAATAAATAATAATAACAACGATGAAACGGCCCGAAGTTTTGCGTATGGTACCCCGATCAACAGGTCATGATAAGGTGATAATGAAAAAAATAATAATAAATAAATAACAATACATATGTGTATAATGGTGTATTATGTTACGGCAGTGAAGGAAAAAAATTCCCCGACGACGACGTAGCCGGACACAGTGTGACCGGCGGCGCGCGCACCGATTCGGGATGTGTGGGCCGAGCCGGTTTGTACTTTGTAGTCTGTWCACTGCACTACTGCAGACCGCAGTCTGCGACTGTGGCTGACGCTGAATATCCAGACACGATATTTTAAAATGTACCTATTAGATATACGTTATAATATCGCCAATATTGAGTAATCGGGTATTTTGGGTTTCTGGAAAGTTTAATGTGTACAATGTAATTACTTTCCTTCAATTTTTTTTCCTATCCCTTAATTGTTTAATTAATTAAAATAACTACAATCTACATACAACATACMTATTTAAAATAATCATTAAAACAAATATTCAGATTGAAGATTGTATAATWTAATTGTTTAGTGGCTTAAATTRTAGTTTTAATTTTATTGACTTCGTAATTGGCAGTAAATTGTGGTCACGATAAATGACGAGTATACCTAATGATAAATAAAAATGTATTTATACAAAATTAAAACAGGGTAATGGCGTTAATTAATTCCCTAATTTGATACTTATTGTTATTAATTTTGAACTTATGCAAATGATTTGATTATCTTATGCTACACGGGAATACAATTATTATTTATTATAATATTACGTAATTAAGGACATTAAGATTTCATAAACCCAACGCAATATTCAATACGAATAAAAAGGTTATTATTTTAATACCATTATTGCATTAATATATGAATTATTAACAATCAATTTATTACAATTAACTTAAAACATTTTTTGAAATCTTTTAATATATATATATATGATACTTTAAGCTAAAACTGGTTTTATTGTCTAAATTCCAAAGTCTATAAGTTTTTGTAAACGTCATATCAAAACAAACTAGTCGAAACTGTTTTATTAGTGGGTACAAAATAGATTTTGTTGGTCACCTACGACCTATACCTATTCCACATTACTACATGGCATATTTTAATTTTACCGTGATAGCACATAACGTAATTTATAAAATTTAAGAATTACATAAATTTTATCGTTTAGAGTCTAAATTTTCTATTAATTCTTATAAATAACACTTGAAATTAATTCGTAAAAAGACGCTTTTGTATATATTTCCAATTCCAATATAATTTAGGTCTCGTTGGTCGTATTTGATTTACATTTATACTTTAGCCAAAAAAGAGCAAAGGCAAAATGCTATTCCATATTTGGCATGATACTAAAATATTATTCTACTATATATGTATATTTTGTTGTGTTTATTCAGGAGATATTTTGAAAAATATGTAATAATAGCTGGCATTGCTGTCCATGACTAAAATTAGATTTTTATTGGTAAATATATTTCTACCAATCTGGAAAAAGTCCATGTATGAGCTACCCTTTAGATGCCCAAGAGATTGAAAATAAGCATAAATACCCTCTATCTCTATTGATATAACTTTTAATTAAAACGGTCCAGTAGTAAGTAAGTACCTACCTATTTGAGTATATTAATTTCGGATAAACTAATTAGTGAACTACAATATGTTAACATCCGTATTTAGCTGTATCGCCTGTATCTATTACCACTTCAACCGTAAAAAATATGAAATTTATTAGGCTATTTAGGGCAAGGTTGTTAAAAAAAAACAAATAAAAGTTTAAAACAAAAAACCACGTTTTAAAAAAACCGATTAATAAAACCCTATAAATGATAATAGTAAATTAGGTAATAAGTTTTGTGGGATAGTTTGCTAATCAGAGTTGAACACAGTATTTCGTTTCAACTAATATATACATCATCGTGATTCGTTATATTATCATAGAACAATATATTATATATATTTTTAAACTTATTTGTTATTCATACTTATGTAGATTTTGACGCTGACGTGGTGCGAATGGTGCGATCAAAATAATATGCGTGGGGTAGAGCTTATTTTAAGTTATGGAGTTTTATCTACARCAAATAACAATTGGCCCTATTGCTTTGGAGTTTGGATGCCATCGTTTATAAAGTTGAAATYGTTAATTTTYAACAAAAAAATCATTTAAAAAAAGTATCMCGCAGAGTAGAAAAAATCCATAGGTTATTTTAATTTAAAATTTACTTAAAATATTGTTTTTTATTGATGTTTAAAACGTCTGTTTTAATCGTTTCAAACAAAATCAATATATTTTTTGTGATGTTTTAAACATGTTTTAAACAAACGTTTTAAACAAACATAACAACTCTGTTTTAGGGTATCTTGAATTTAGTGTACCTTACTTCACAGTTCATGGGTACCTAAATCGGCATCGGTGTCCCTCGCTTTGTGAATTACCTAAATACTAATAAAACTTGACCATTGGATTGGATAATATAGCACTTGGTATTGACTATTGAGTAAAGCCTTAAAAATGCTGGGTTCTGTTCGACGCTCTTGTTATGACACTTTTTACTTAACGACTTTATTACGATATTTATCTTATTATATACGGTAAATGTTGGAGTATTGCTCAATAAATACATTCATTTTGTACGGTATTGGTTCATATTTAGGTAATAGGCAGGCGGTAATGGAAAGAGTCGACTTAGGCTTTACGTTATCAGTCAGTCAAAAAATCACTTTCAGTTTCCCGAATCTTTCTTTCTGTTAAACCACAGATTCTTAATCTTTTCTGGTCCATGGACCCCTTTGATGTATAAAATATAATCACGGACCCCCACCAAAAAAAAATATATTTAAATAAATGTAAAAATGAAATTTTTATTTTTATTATTTTTTAATGATAAATCTAATACATAATACTACTAATAACAAAATCTATATTAGATTATTATGAATGATTATTCATAATAATCACTTTCTTATAGTCATATACAATTTCTAATGTGACATTTGTTGTTGTTTTGATTGCAATATTGCCTTGAAATCTGGGACCGTATTAGACAAAGCAACTCGCATATCGTCCTTGATGTCCAATCGATTTCTTGATTTAGTTTTAATTGTGACCATTGTGGAAAATCCAGACTCACAAAGATAGGTAGTAACGAATGGAATCAAAAATTTCATTGCCGTGGATACAGCTCGTGGATAAGCCATCGTCAACGAACACAAAAATTCGATTAGATTTTTTGTTTGAAAGTCGTGGCGTGCCATTTATTTTGATCTTAAATCAATTAGTTCATCTTTAACGAGATCTGAGTCATCAATAGTATTTAAGTCCACGAGAAAAGGATTGCGTAACCATATTTCTGATTTCGAAAATGTAGATGTGATGATGATATCGGGAATTTCCTTCTTTATCAACGCTGTGAAACCAGATGATTTACCAAGCATCGAAGGAGCACCATCGGTGCACAGCGAACCGAGTTTTCTTTTATAATTTAATTGATGTTTAGAAAAAAAATTAGTAATCATTTCAAACACGTAAATTAGCCTTGTAGTTTTCAAAAGTGGTTGACAAAATAAAAATTCTTCTTTACTAGTTTCAGAATATATGTAACGTACAAAAACTAATAATTGGCTGCATTGAGAGATATCTGTACTTTCGTCCAACTGCATACTGAATGGAAAAGGGGTTGAATCTAATTCCCGAATTACTTGTCCCAAAATGTTAGTGGACATATCAGAAATCCTAGAATTTATAGTATCATTTGATAAAGGTATAGCTTCAATTTTCTTTCGTTGTTCCAAACCACATACTAATTCTACCATTTCTAATGCACATGGTTTTATTAGTGACTCGCCAATTGTATGTGGTTTTTTACTTCTAGCAATGCGGTAAGCTACTTTGTAAGATGCTTCGAGACATGGTTTTTGCGGAGGTACAAATCCAAGTTTGGGTAATGTACCGGCTTTTTCAAAACGTGCTTTTTTTATTTGAAATTCTTCCAGACTATCTGACGCATGTTGAGGATGTACCGAAGCAAGATGTTCTTTAAGCTTTGTTGGTTTCATGCTGCCATTTGCAAGTATTTTTCCGCAGATAAAACATTGTGGTTTTTGTGTACCATCGCGTTCGGTAATAGATGTAAAACCAAACGACGTATAAGAGTCATCGTACTTTCTTTTTTTCGACATTGTAATAATTATTAAAATGTAAAAAATATAAAAATAAAATGGTGTGAAAACTAGAGTGAATATTATAACGACGGTTGAGACGGACAATGCACAATGCGACGGCGACAGGTCAGCTGAAGTGATGGGTATTGCATTGGTATTGGGGTTTCCATGTTCAATTGAAATGCTCGTTAGATTGTATTGTTATATGCCCGTATATTATTTTACGATTCGAATAACTTTATCGTTTATATGACATAATGGGAATTACCCGTTTCCGCCAAAATTTGAAATTACCGATTCCGCCATCGCCCGTTTCCGCCAATTTAAAAAAGGTTCGATTCCCGTTTCCACCAATCTACCTGCTATGG